TCATTGGTTAATTGCAGTAAGAAGCATAAACACATAAACAAAGAGAGTTCCCCCTGTTTCTGTGGCTCTTTCCTAACTGGTATCAAAACAGGGAAAATCATCATATTTCCAAATGCTAAAAGAGTCCAACAGTGCTTGATAAAGAGTGCTATTATGACCCAGCAGGTCCTCTCAGATGTGTCTCAGATTTTATCAAGTCATACCGAGTCTTGGAGCATTACTACATTACTGTAACAACTGTGTTGCGTAAATTCTTTCAGACACTCACAGAAGCTTTCAGGGCACTTCAGGTGACTAAAAGTTTTCTGTCACTTCCCCCAAGATTGTCTATTGATTGACTTTGCCGGAGGCATCCTACTGTGACTCACAGTGATAAAGGTGAGAGTCACATTAAGACAAAGCAAGTTGTTCACCTCCACATCACTTTAAAGCGCAGCCATCACAATTGATTGTTCACAGTTTAAGGTTTTCAATTAAGATGCTTTCAAATAACTGCCTTGAAACGTTAGAGGGAAGTCAAAACTGGTAATAAATTTTACTGCAGGGCAAAATATGTTTTTGACCCCATTGTATGGGCAAAAACAGTTGAAACAACTTTCAATATATCTTCTTGTCCATTCCACGGAGGAAGGCAGGTTTGGAACGACATGACGGTGAGTAAATGACAACAGAATTTTCATTTTTGGGAATTAATTTAAACAAATAGTTCACCCAAAAATGAACATTTGCTGAGAATCTACCAAGATGTATTAAAGATGTAAATGAGTTTTTGAGATTTTGAGAAATTGAGCATTACATCACTTGTTCAACAATGAATCCTCTGCAGTGAATGGGTGCCGTTAAAATGAGAGCCCAAACAGCTGATAAAAATATCACAAAAACCCACAAGTAATCTACATAACTCCTGTCCATCAATTAGCATGCTGCTAAGTGAAAATATGCAAGCTGCATAGAACAAATCCATCATTAAGGTGTTTAAACTTTAACTTTTGACCATAGTACGAGTCTAATAAGGCTTCCTCGAGTAAAAAAGTCCATCCCCTGTTTGTCCTCTCACATCAGAATTCACTGACATGTTTGTTTAGAACTGTTATGGAGTGTTTTTGTTTGTAAATGGTACTTGATCTATGCATATTTCTCTTGACTTTTTAAATAGAGAAAGCAGTATTATGGATAGCGGACTCGTATTTTAGCCAAAGTGATGGTTTGAAGGTAAAATCTTGATGAATTGATGCTTTTTGCTTCACAAGACAGTAATTGATGGACTGGAGTCGTGTGGATTACTTGTAGATTATTGTGATGTTATTATCAGCTGTTTGAACTCTTATGCTGATGGCACCCATTCACTGCAGAGAATCCATTGGTGAGCAAGTGATGTAATGCTAAATTGCTTCAAATTGGCTTTACTGATAAGATGCGCGTTAAATATCGCATGCGATTTATCGTGCAGCCCTAGCCTGAAGGTAAGTAAAATTTCAGCAATTTTTCATTTTTGTGTGAACTATTTCTTTAATAGGTCTCAAAAACCAAAAGAAAACCACAGAAGCACGTTTGCAGGCAACACTAAGATAAAACTATAAACAGTCATTGGACTTATGTGTTAAAAGAGATATCTGTCACGTTCCTGCTGGGCTGCCGTGTATGTTTAGACAAGGGTACAGCCTATTAAAAGCCAGCGAGCCACAGGAACCCACCTTCACATCTTTACACACACTCGCACAGCATGAACTCTAGGGTTTACAATGCATTAATTACAGCTGTAAGGATAATAGCAGTGCTGAAATATTCATTCAGCGATACACTAAGTAATCACCAGTCAACAGCTTTCATCGGCACGTCCTCCATCTGTGATTGCGGGCAATTTAGTGATTTGTGAAAGACCAGTTATTTGCTTATACAAAACAGAAATTTCTAGCGAGCAAATCTGTGGGGGGTCAAATAACAGGTGCTATGGAGGGTTTGATGGATTTAGAGTTTCATTTGTTTGTATAGTGTTTAGAAACATACATACATTAATGACTGGCATGTTTGCCAGTGGGAATTTTAATACCTTGGCAGTAGGCGCTGTCGTCCCTGAGTGCATGGTATCCTTCTTTACAGCTGCAGAAAGCTCCTGCTTCTAGGTTAATGCAGTCCGAATTCTCCACACAATTGCGGCTGTGACCCTCAGCACAGAAATCATGCCCTGGGAGTGAGACAGATAGAGTAGAAGTGCTATGCAATGCATAAATCTGACATTTATAATTAATGCATTATATTTACATTTGCATTTATAGTTGAAAGACACTTCACTTCGAATTGGGAGGATTTCTTGTTCACCTACGCCTGGCTAGTCGATGTGAAATACTTGTGGGACATTGCATATCCTGCGGTGTGACAGGCTATACACCATCTAAAATCATTTTAAATAGCATTTTACTAATTATTTTATAATTGTTAATAAATGAGTTCTTAATGAGTTTTTGATTGGTCTTTTTTTACTTATTTTCCAACATATCGCCCTTAAACAAGCTCAGTTTACTTGAGAAGCAACTTTGAAAAAGATATTAAGATTTGTTTTCATAGATTATATCTTGATTATCAGTGCATTTTGTCCTACTGGACTTGTTTTTTGTTTTTTTGTTTTTTACTTGTTTATACTAAAAAACAAGTGCAAGTAATTAATTATGCAGTCTTTTTTGTCCAAAACTGATCTTATTTCAATGATTTAGATTGGAAACACATATCTTTAATCTTTCTTAAAAGAGTATAAATGGGCTGTTTGTAAAAATGTGTCACACCACAGGACCCTTCAAAAAATAGTGAAGGCAAAAAGGTTAATAAACTGTTCTCAAGCAACCAAGATGTACGTTTTAACTTATATATTCATATAATTAAACAAAACAATTAAAATTAAAACACAGTTAAAAAACAAAACAAATCAAAAACAAAAAGTCAAACAAAACAAAACAAGCAAAACAAAACAAAACAAAACAAAACAAAACAAAAAAGCAAAACAACCCTAACAAAAAACAAAAACAAAAAAACAAGTGTTGTAGCTCAATCTGTGAACTATGGGGTTTGGAAAAGTTGAGCATACGTTGCCCTTTAAAATATCACTGTTAAACTGGGTGTTATGTGCGTGCAGTTATATGTGTGAAGGCGGCAAAAATAGATGAGTGCTGTCATGCACAGTCATGGCTTGGTGTTGAGCACAAATCTAGTTTGTGTGCGCAATGGTCAAAGGTGGCTGCCCTTAATATGACTCCAATCAGCGGAGTGTAGAGGGTGTGTGTTGTTTCTGCGTGTGTCTGAGTGTGTCGCACCTCTGCACACTTTGCAGCAGCGGTCTGTGAGCGTGATCTGTTCTGACTCCGGGCAGTTTAGCTCTGGACAAGAAGTGATCTCAACCCTATGCATACTTCGATCCTGCAAACACAAAAACAATCTTTTATTCAATTTATCCTGCAAGTAAAACATAAGGTTTTGAAACATGGTAGCTGTTTTAAAGCTGGTCTAAGCTGGTTCAAGCAACAAAACAACTTCCAAGATGGTCTAGATGGTTTTTGGAACATTTGGACAAATCAGTTAATGACCAGCTTGGATGAGCTGGAAATCAGCTATCATGTTCCAGAACACTTTTGGGAGTTTAGGGTGGATTTTCTAAATCAAATGTTGCTTGGAATTCAAATTTATAGATGGGCTCAATTCAAATTCTGCCTGAAATCCAATTTATAACCAGGCCCTACAGAATCTAAATTCTAATTTTGCCTGGAATTCTGCCTGAATTCATAACCAGGCAGAGACAGAATTCATATTCTGCCTGAACTTCAAATTCATAACCAGGCACAGAAATTATTTGGATTCAAATATTGCTTGGAATTTGAATTCATAACCAGGCTCAGACAGAATTCAAATTCTGCCTGGAAATCTAATTCATAAGCAAGCACAGAATTTAAATTAAATATTTCAATTAAATTCAGAATTTAAATTCAAAATTAGCCTGGAATTTAACTGCTGATTAGAATTCTAAAATTCATTAGAGAGAATTTAGATTCTGCCTGAAAATCAAATTCATAACCACGCACAGACAGAATTTGAATTCAAATTCTGCCTGGAAATTAAATTCATAACCAGGCGCATACAGAATTTAAATTCAAAATTTGCTTGGAATTCAACCACTACTTAAAATTCAAGCTCATAGCCAGGCCGAGCGAGAATTCATATTCTGCCTCAAAATCAAATTCATAACGAGGAACAGACAGAATTGTAATTTTAATTATGCTCGTAATTCAGTTTTATAGCCAAATTGAGAGAGAATTCAAATTCTGCCTGGAAATTAAATTCATAACCAGGCGCATACAGAATTTAAATTCAAAATTTGCTTGGAATTCAAACGTTGTTTGGAATTCAAATTCATAACCAGGCTGAGAGAGAATTCTTATTCTGCCTGTAATTCAAATTCATAACAAGGAACGGATAAAATTCAAATTCAGGTTCAAATGCTGCTTGGGACTGCAAGTCATAACCAGGCCTAGGCACAATCTTCGCCAGCAGAATTCAGATTTCCGCAGAATTTCCATCATACATCATTCAGACTTCCATCATTTACAGTAATCAAATTAACACATCCACCCAACAGACTTCGGAAGATTTTCTCCAAAAATAAGTACAAAACAAAAATGTGGAAAAAGTCAGATTCTGTCTGGCCTGAAGTTACACTAGTACTTACCCTGCATTCAAACAGCAGACAGTTTCCCTCAGAATCGTGCACGCTTTTACGATCACCTTCCACATACACTCTTCCTCTGAACAGACACACGGCTAAAGCCAAAAAGATATAAAGAGAAAAAGAAGCAAAAATTAGATCCAGACAAGAAATGAAGAGGATTGGAATGTGAAACAGTAAAGCATCGATCGGACACACATGTTAGATTAAGCCTACCAGAGCACAGTGTTAAATAAAGCCCTGGTCATCAGTCAAACTGCTATTAGCTTCTGCACATTAGCACTGCTCACTCAAACACAACGCTGCACACTGGCCTTGAATTATTAATGATACCAGAGAAAGAATTAACACATCCACCCAACAGACTTCGGAAGATTTTCTCCAAAAATAAGCACAAAACAAAAATGTGGAAAAAGTCAGATTCTGTCTGGCCTGAAGTTACACTAGTACTTACCCTGCATTCAAACAGCAGACAGTTTCCCTCAGAATCGTGCACGCTTTTACGATCACCTTCCACATACACTCTTCCTCTGAACAGACACACGGCTAAAGCCAAAAAGATATAAAGAGAAAAAGAAGCAAAAATTAGATCCAGACAAGAAATGAAGAGGATTGGAATGTGAAACAGTAAAGCATCGATCGGACACACATGTTAGATTAAGCCTACCAGAGCACAGTGTTAAATAAAGCCCTGGTCATCAGTCAAACTGCTATTAGCTTCTGCACATTAGCACTGCTCACTCAAACACAACACGCTGCACACTGGCCTTGAATTATTAATGATACCAGAGAAACGTGTGACTGCGTTGTGTGTGTGTTGATATTCGCATTTGTGGCAGCGGTAACCTAGCAACACAGGGATGTGGTCAGTTTGTCATCAAGACCGCAGCACAATTATATAAAAGATTTTAGTGCAAAGGAAGATAGCAAAAATAGATGCTGGAGATATGAGGGAGCAAGCATGAGACAAAGGGAGAGAGAAGAAAAGTTGACAAATATATACACCTCTGTAGACGCACGGCCTCATTTGTGTGTGTGTGTGTGTGTGTGTGTGTGTGTTTGTGTGTACACTCACGCTGGCACTCTTTACAGCAAGCTCCAGGCATGTAGATTGGAGCTGTATCAGGGGGACACTGAGGCGGTGGGCAGAAAATACTCTCGCACTCCACTGTACCATTCTGTAGGTGGAAAACACACATGCACCATCATAATCAATAAAAGAGCTTCACAATTACACGATTCTGCAACAAACTGACAGAATCAGACAGTGATTGTCATGAATGCTGATGGCAAATCAGGTTGTCACATCTTCAAAATCTTCACAGCTAAAACAAAGCCCAACAAATACTGAAGCAACTGATCTTGAGGGTGTGTTCCCACACTGACAGCGACAAAACAGCTTGACTTGCCAACTTTCTGTACTGTTTATTGCTACAAAATTAGTATTTTTGTTTTCTATAAAAATGCAAAAATATCTACAAAAATGCAAATGGACTAAGACAAAAAATTAAATAAAAAATATAAATAAACATATTACTATAAATAATATTAATACATATAGATATTAATATCAATGCATATTACTGTCAAAATTGTAAAAAATATTAAATTATAAACTGAATTTTTAGTTTATATTCTGGGGAACATAAATGTTTTCACAACAGAATGCAAATGTTTCGCACACAAACACAAAGTTTCTCAGGGGAACACATTACTTTTGTGGGAGAATGCAAATGTTTTGCGAACGAATGAAAAGTTTCTCTGGGGAACGCAATAGTTTTGCAAGCGAATGCAAAGTTTTAAGGGGAACGTAATAGTTTTGCTAAAAAAAAAAAACTGCAAATGTTTTGCAATATAATGCAAAGTTTCACAGGGAAACGCAATACTCTTGTTTTGCGAGTGAATGCAAAGTTTCTCTGGGGAATGTAATAGTTTTGTGAAAGAATTAAAATGTTTCGCGTGAGAACACAAAGTTCTTCTGGGGAACGTAATAGTTTTGCAAGAGAATGCAAATGATTTGCAAGCAAACACAAAGTTTCTCTGGGGAACGTAATAGTTTTGCAAGAGTACGCAAAAGTTTTGCGAGCGAACACAACATTTCTCTGGGGAATGCAATAGTTTTGCGAGAGAATGCAAATGTTTTGTGAGAGAATGCAAAGTTTCACAGGGAAACACAATACTTTTGCGAGAGAATGCAAAGTTTCTTAGGGGAACGTAATACTTTTGCGAGAGTACACAAATGTTTCGCTAGGAAACGCAATATTTTTGTGAAAGAATGCAAAGGCATTGAAATAGAATTCTTCCTCCCGTCTCATATTTCATCCCCATGTGCCCTTAGAGGCTCTGTAGGATATTGTGGAAACAAGCTCCCACAGCAGCAGTAGTAGTAGTAGTCACATCACATCACTGCTCATTTGCATAATTTGTACTGTCACTCATGTCTTCTCAACTATTACTGAAAAGAATGACTTCCAGTTGCTTTGTCGCTGGAAATTGCTGTCATTGTGAATGCCCCTTGAGCTCGTAGTTCGAAAAGACATCTCTTGTTTAAATTCCCACCCAAACAAAACGAAGTCATCCCCGTCCTGGCAATACATAAACTTACTGAGCACGTGCAGTTTCTGCATCCATCTATCCAAGCATCATCGTCCCTGTATATCTCTCCATTCAGGGTGCATGTCCTCTCACAGTAACAGCCATCCAAGTACTTCATCTTCTCTTCGGCAAGTGCCAACTACAGCACAATGAAGACATGAGGAAGAAGAGAGGGTGAGACTGAATGATGCATCAATATACAGAGAGAGGCGATAAAAAAATGAAGAGCAAGCAAAAACAATAAATGTTAGAAAGAGAGGGAAATAAGAGATTTATGATAAAGGCAGCATTTGTGGTGTTCACTATTAAGGCCATTAAATAGACCATAACACACACAAAAAAACCTATTGACATCCAACAGAAACACTATAAACTTTGTGTACTGGAGAGAGAATTGAGTAAGTCTCAATAAATTGAGACATCAAATTAACGGCATCAGTTTTTATAAACTAACAGCTAATAATAGCAACATTAGCATGCTAAAAGCAATGTTTTTTCACCACACAGGTAACCCCAAAATTCAAAAACTAACTACTTAAAATCTAACAAAATTGTGTCATTTTGTTCAAAACACTTAAAATGACACTTAATTCAACATTTAACTTCTCATCATCCAAAACATGCTGGGAACTGAAAATTCCCTGCTCAAATTATTTATTTATTATTCATGTAGCCCCAATGCAAATGGATTAAAAAGTCTTCGATATTACACATTTTAATTCATTGCACAGATTGAAATTAATGAAATTGAAAAAATTCAACAGCTGTTTTGCATTAGTTTAGAATAATAAAACTGAGTAAGCAGCAAAATAATTTTTATGAACTTACCTTGCTTGATGTTTTAGCTAAAATATCTTGAAGTTCCATGATCTTCTGAACCAGCCCATGGAAATCATTGCAAGTGGGACAAGCTGCAAAATTGGTGGATGTACATTAATGCCATTTCCAGACCAGTAAGTATACAAAGTGCAAAGTTATTTTTTTCTGAAAGTATGCACTTACTACGGTTGAGATCTGGACATTGGACGACGTATCCATGGGGTATGACAACCAACTGAACATCTTGCATCACTCCCTGACAGAAAGACAAGACAGAAAGAAAGTCACAGAGATGTAGACAAGACAAACATGCAATTTTACGGTTTTATGGACTATTTTTAATGTACAAGATTATGTTGTACCCTGAAGAACCCATGGGCATCATTTCTTTGACCAAGCCAGATGTTTGTTCCTCTGGGAAAGTCCATAGATGGCGTCTCCACAATCCTTTCGTAAATTCTGAAAGCAAGCACAAACAAAAAGCAACACATGAGTGGACATTGATACAGACTACTACATGGCATTCAAATCTATCTCTGGTGGTTCTCAAGCCATTCACCTGTTGCAGTCAATATGGAGCACCACTTGGGTGGCGCTGAATGCCAGGGAGACTTTGTGCCAATGTCCATCTGCTAGACTATAGGGGAAGATCTCTCTCTGCTGCCGCTGGTCTGAGGTTTGGAAGAAGAGACGGATCTCATTACGCAGACCGCTGCTCTCTACCTCCAGAAACCTGAGGAGGAAGCCAAGAAAACAGATTTATCCTTGTGAAAAGTCATAATCATGCTTGAAATCTAAGAACTGCAGGAAATAACTGCTGCCAAAATGTTTTCTGTTAGTTCTAATGTTCCTATGCACAAGACTTCTGTAGGTTAAGCTGCCAAGCGGTCGTTATTAAATTCTGGTATGTGCAAAAGCAGCAGGGAATAATGCGGCTCAAGGGAATGTAGGAGTTTTGAATGAATGTGAAGAGGAGCAGTGATCCGTGGATCTCTTGGTCTGGACTGCGAGTGCTGACCTTAAAGAGGTTGTAGAATCAATACTGTGTGTTTAAGAAATGTCAGTGGACACCCCAATCAGAAGTGTTACAGACATTTCATCAGGAGAACAGATTATGTGTTCCTCTGAGGAACAGTAAATTAAACAGAAGAATGGATGCACAGACAGCCCAATAGACAAGCTGATGGATGGATGGAGGGATAGGAGGGACAGACAGAAAGATAGATGGATGGATGAATAGAGGGAGGGACAGATGGACAGACAGACAGACAGACCAATAGACAGATGGATGGATGGAATGGACAAACAGACGGACAGATAAAAAGACAGACAAAAAGATAGATAGATAGATAGATAGATAGATAGATAGATAGATAGATACCTCTGTTCTGTATCTGGATGGATAGATGGATGCATGGGATGGAGGGATTGAGAAAAGGAGGGATGGACAGACAAGACAGCTGGATGAATAGAGGGAGGGATAGACAAGTGGACGGACGGACGGGACGGGACGGGACGGACGGACGGACGGACGGACAGGCAGACAGACAGACAGATAGCTAGATAGATAGATAGATACCTCTGTTCTCCATAGTGGATGGACAGCAGCACTCCAGAGCTGAATTTCTCCTGTTTGAGGGTCAGTAGAAGAGTGAACTCAGTTCTTCCTCTCAGCTTCTGAAGAATTCTCTCTACTGCCTTGAGAGAAGCTCTTGCATTCCTTGATGTCCCTGATGGAGAGAGTGACAAAATCAGTGAAGGAGAATGAGGCATTTGCTCATTCAACTTGGATCAACTGAATATATGATCTTACAAGCTTTATATATTAAAAAGATCCCAGAACAGGTCACACTGATGTATTTGATCCATCCATCACTGTGTGGTCAAGCTATGTATGTATTCAACACAATCATCAGCTTTTTCAGTAACTGAATTTGTTAAACAGAAACAGACTTTAGTTTCCAGACCATGATGTAGCTATGGAACTATCATGGCCGTTTTGAGCCAACGGGACCATCTGGTGATATTTATGTTTAAATATTCACTCTGGAGCCAGTGTGAATACTAAACTAAGTAGAAAAAATTAGCATGATAAATACCAAGGGGTCAAAGTTTGGCTAGTTAGCAGGTAAGATACTACACCATCTGCACTCAAAAAGCATTTTTTTTGCCATTAATGCTATTTTGTGCCAAAAACAACATATAAATTACATATATTTTATTGAATTTCGGCCTTGTGACATCAAAGCAGGATAGTTGCTAAAGGGTTTAGGAATAAAATAAAATAAAATAAAATAAAATAAAATAAAATAAAATAAAATAAAATACTAGTTCCAGAACCGAGGGCCCAAGAGCAAAGATGGCAGTCGCTGAGCAACAACCATTGAAATGAATAGGAATTCTAACATAGCTTTCTCTAGGTATTAAAAGATATCCTTGGAGCACACAAAGCACAATTTTAAGGAAATGAGGATGGTAGACTGACATGCGGGTCATGTCGTAACACTGATGTGAGTGGCATAGAACAGAAATAAAAAAGAGACAGAAGGAAGGAGGAAACACATGGGAGAGCTGATGAGTTGGCTGAGGAGGACACAGGAAGTTGACTGTCTCCTCAGGGATGAATGTTTAAATCAGTCCAGTCAAAACATAAGAAATGTCTGGGTCTGGTCCTCTCACAGGGTAAAAATCATGCCACACACACACACACACACACACACACTCGCACACACACACATAAAGCCAACTGGGGAACACTAATGTTCTGTAGCTAGTGTCAAGTAAAGCTCAGGGGAGCTGTAAGCCGCAGCCGTGAGCCTATTACGGCAGGAATGAGGCGGAGTTTCAGCACCTTCATTAATCAAATACACTGTACGACAGTGAGCTGAAGCTAACCTGGTAACCTCAACAATCCGCAGAGGACACCGCAGCTGATCAAATGGATTCCAGGACAGTTCACAAGTATCAGCTTTAAAGTCCTTTGGGGAAGTGCTAGGAAAACACGTTTTTTTCCTGGACACCTCTCCAATTAATTCCAATTGGATCGACACTTTGTCTCAGATGTGCTATTCTTCTATCCCGCTCATCATTGAGGGTTGTATTAATGTGCTGTAAATCAAAGGCTAGTCGTTCGATTGCAGCATTTAAAGGTCAGAGAGCATCTAGGAACTCCTGATGGCTATCTGCTAGGAAATTATGCAGATTACCAATAATGATTTTTTAAATAAATACATTTAAAAATATACTAAATAAAATAAAAAAATTGTTACAAATCTGTACTGATAAATAGTTAGCTTTTAATAAATAAATAAATAAATATGTGCAGAAAGTTAGCAAAATATTAAATATAAACAAATAAATAAATCTGTACAGAAAAAGGTTTTAGCTAAATATTGAAATATAAATAAATAAATGGTTAAAAATCTGTACAGATAGAGTCAGCAAATCATTAAATTTAAACAAACAAACAAGTAAATTACAAATATGTGGAGACAGTTATCAAAATATAAAATATAAAAAACTGTACAGAAAAAAGTTTAAAATAATAAAAGAGCTAAATAAATAAATAAATGGTTACAAATCTGTACAGATAGTCAACAAATCATTAAATATAAAGAAACAAATAAATAAGTAAATTACAAATATCTGCAGACACTTAGCAAAATATACAGAAAAAATGTTAAACATAATAAAAGCGCTAAATAAATAAATAGTTACAAATCTGTACAGATTTGTACCGAGTCAGCAAAATATTGAAATTTAATAAATAACCAATTTAGTTAGCTAAATATTGAAATATAAATATATAAATAATAAATTAAACATTTAATAAACACATATCAAATATATTTAATAATATAATATAAACATTTATATATCAGTTTTTAAATAAACATAAAAAATGCTACTTTATTAATCTCATTTAAGGAGCATTTAAATTCCTAATTTCCAGGCCATGAGGACACAATCACCACTGAGCAAGGAGGTAATCAGTAATCTGAATCTGTAATCAATCGCTCCAAGTTATCAAACACCACAGCCCTGCTACGTCTCAAGAGAACCAATAACTTCAATAACGATAAACGAGAACTGGGCTCCTGGGAGCGAGAAACACAGTGTGATGCAAATTATGTAACTCGGGTGACACTATTCTGGCAGAATTTAAATTAAAAACCTTTAAGAAGATTGCTGGTGAGTTTTCCTAATGATGCTGAGTATCAGTGCCACCAATAATATGAGCAATTACATGTAAAAAAGCACTTAAATTGATCACGAGTCAGGCTACTTATGATGCAATCGCTTAAAAGTGTGTCCTAACGTACCTTAATGAAAATTTAAAGCCAATGTAAAAAAAAAAAAAAAAAAAAAAAAAAAATTT